TCATTATGAGATTGTGATTCTTTCCTTTGCTTCTGATTTCAGTAAACTGCCTTCCTGGATTAAAGCTTTTGTCCCACGATTCTTCTATGTGACAGAAAAGGCCTGGAACTTCTATCCCTTCACCATCACAGGTAGAAATTTCTTACTTGGAGAAATGCTCAGCAACAGTTATAGATGGATAAATCATTGGTGAATTCCTTACTTGAAAGTTGTCCCGCTGACTGTTATTGGCATGCTCCACCAGAAGGTTAAGCCAAAAAAATTATCATTACTAATAAAGCTGGGTGTTCAGAGTGCTGTATCGCAACATATTAATGGAACTTGAGTGGGAGGAAAACAGCATTGAGAGGATTGTTGGGCCAAGCCCATTCAAGAGTTTGGGGGATGGACTGTGGCTGGAGTCAGTGCTTCAAGGGTCACCACACCCAGACATGTCCAGGACAGGGGCTGCAACTGCTGGATTACATACGTATGTTAAGCTACTCCTAAACCCAGACACATCAGATGCTTGTTATACGGGGAGGAGAAAACAGACTGGACTGTTAATCAGTAGTCCAAAGTTCCCTTTTCAAATAAGTCAATTTTGAATTTCATTTTAGAAATCAAGGTCTCATAGTCTAGAGGAGTGGAGAGGCACAGATTCAAATTGTTTGAGGTCCAGTGTGATGTTTCCAAAGTCTGTAAAGATCTGGGGAGCCATTTTATCTGCCGGTGTTGGTCCACTTTGTTTTATGAAGTCAGCACAGTTGTCTAACAGGAGTTTTTAAAGCCCTTAACTTGGTTCCCTTAGCTGACAAGTTTTATGGAGATGCTGATTTAATTTTTCAGCAGGACCTTGGTGATTTTGGCAGTGTTAGCAAATACCAAAATTACCAATACCTGCTTTAATGACCATGGCATCACTGTGCTAGACTGCCCTAACCTAAACCCCATGAAGAATATGTGAAGTATTGTCAACAAGGACATAAGTGACATCAGCTCCAACAATGCAGAGAAGTTGAAGGCTGCTATTAAAGCAACCTGGGCTTCCTTAACACCTCAGCAGAACCAGACTGATCGCCTCCATGCCATGCTGCATTGATGCCGTTATTCATGCAAAAGAAGCCCTGACCAAATATTGAATACATATACTTTACAGTACACAGACATACATTTTAGTAGGCTGATGTTTTTGTTTTAAAAAATACTTGTTTTTTTATTGGTCTTATGTTATATTTTAATTTTCCTTTAAACTAAGTAAGGTTTCATTGGATGTAAGCTATAATAATCAAATTATACAATTTTTGAATTACATTGTAATTAACTGAGATGCATATGTATGCATGCATTGCATGCAGTTGTTTGTGGCATACGTGTGTTGCTAAATTTTTATGGTCATTCATTTGAGTAATTGATGGTATTTCTTTCTATCTATATTAAATGTCGCTGCTGTTGCAGAGTACTCCGTAAGTATTCTCATACATAATCTCTTTAACATGAACACAATTGTGCTCATTTATTTTTAGAGATCTCTGGATTTAATCTGCTGCCTGCCTTCACCCTCTGTATGTTTCCCATGTCTACCTCATGTAGGTATCATTCGTTCCCAGGTTCAGCATTTGCATTGAGACAAGGTTTGAAAACAACAACGGCAGTAATGACAATGTGAGTATAGGCCTAACAGAGAGGAAGCAAGAAAGATGGAGTGATAGAACTGAGGGGGGAGAGAGAGAGAGAGAGAGAGAGACAAAAGGGGAATGAGAGGAATTGCAATTTTCTTTGCAGCGCCACGAAAACGTTCATCAAATTGATGTGGCCATTACAAGGAAAACAAGCAAAGCACAAAATGCACTATTGGCAGATCTATTAACCAGACGTGCAGTGTGCTGATCATGGCTGCCATGCTGCATTTTGTCCATCGGCAATGCACATCAACACACTCGGACAGAAATCCACAAGCAATTACATCTCTGCCTGGCCCCTTGTTTCTGCTCCTAATGAAAGTAAAAAACAAGACCCAACCTGCCACAATTTAGATACTTCTGCTTATTGAGAGGAGTGATCTAAATCTTATTTTTACAGCTCTCTTATGTATGTATTGGTACCCCTGGCAAAGATGTTGAAAAGGCTTGAAAATAAATTCGGCTTTGATTGCAGTCGCATAATCTCTCAATGATTAATAATTAGATTTTTTTGAAATCCTTGGTGCCACAATTACTTGCACGCCATGAAATTACTATAAACCTAAATTACCTGGTGATTTATTTTCTTATTTATAATTTACCTTAATAAGTCAGAGTGTCAAGGAACTTTTAATTAGTAACTGATGCCTTCCTTTTCCCATTGAAGTATAAATATGCAGCAACACATATAAAAAAGCCTTTAATTAGCGACTCTTCAAAATGGGCAAGACAAGAGAACATGTCATTCAAATAAAGTGCAAGTGTGTAACCTAATCCTAAATCAAGAAATTTGGGGTGGGGGGTGGTGTAATGGCTGCTCACCAATACATGCCCTTTTGACAAAGTTATTTTTATAGCATTTGAGTAACGAGACAATTCAAAGTGCTTTAGATGATGAAAACATGAGAAAAGAAAACATAAAAAATATTTAGCAGTGGCACAACACAGGCAAGTAAAGAAAAGTTAGACTACAGACTAAAATTAATAATGATTCAGTTAATAAAAACAATTTAAAAAAATGTGATGAACAAGTACTCGTACTCATACTCGTCGTCTTCCGCTTATCCGGGTCGCGGGGGCAGCAGACTCAGCAGAGACGCCCAGACGTCCCTCTCCCCAGACACCTCCTCCAGCTCCTCCGGGTGGAGCCCAGGCATTCCCAGGCCAGCCGAGAGACATAGTCCCTCCAGCGTGTCCTGGGCCGTCCCCTGGGCCTCCTCCCGGTGGGACGTGCCTGGAACACCTCCCGAGGAAGGCATCCAGGAGGCATCCGGTATAGATGCCCGAGCCACCTCAACTGGCTCCTCTCGATGTGATGAACAAGGCTACACCCAAATTTGTTCTGTCACCACATACTGCAATAAAGATGAATTCATTTAAGGCTTTTGGTACATCTCTACCAAGGGTCTCAATAAGCATGGATGGGGCTTTATATCATTGGAGGTTTGCAATGACCTCTAGGACAACATAAAATACCACATAATTGTGCAGTGGAAAGAGCATGATACATGGTGTAGGTCTGAGCCATTCTAACGCAAATATGCTTTTAGCTCATCACATGTTTAAGGTTTGTCTTCCAGAAGGAAGTTGTAGTCTTTTGCAGCCTTGAACAGGTTTTCTTCCAGTATTCCCTTTGCATTTTGTCCCATCCCTTTTCCCTATGATTTAAGTGAAGCCTCTTCACAACATGATCCTCCCACCGCCCATTATTCACTGCGGGTTTTTTGCCACAAGTAGCATTTTGCTTGTTGGTCAGAAGTTAGATTCTTGTTTCATTTGACCAGTCCACCTTTTACAGGTTTGCTGTGTCCCCTATATTGGTGGCAAACTGCAGAGGGGAACCCTTTTGGCTTTCTTTCAACAATTGAACATCCATGTCACTCCGCAATAAACGCCATAATTGTGGAGACTAAAAGCTGTCCTGCCAACAGATTCTCCCACCTGAGCAGTTGATCTTTGCAGCTCCTCCATTGCTCCATTTGCCTCTTAGCTGCTCATTTAATCTTCTCCTTGCCCAGCCTCTCAGTTTAGATGTGTTAGTAGGTTTGTATCAGTGGCTTACTAGTTTCGTGTATCCTTTTCCTTCCACTCAATGATTATTGATTTGTTCATTCCAGTAAAATACAATGGAGTGTGTGGTCATAACATGACATTGGGCCTGAATACTTTTGTAATTCAGCTCAAAGGTTGAAGATACATTCATTCTGTATTTATTTATTTATTTATTTATTATAGCAGAATTTTCACAGGAGAAATTAATGAAGGAACCTTAATTACAATAAGCTTCTGGGACAGTTAAAATTGGCCATGGAAACTCTGCAGAATCCTTGACAATTCATGGACACCTGTTTGTCACTCTCTATAGGATCTGCTGCCAAACTACAATCTTCCACCAGAGATTTCTGTCATGCAGAAAAATATTAAGATTCAAAAATAATTGATTTAAGATTAACATTGTTTTTACCCTTTTCAAGTCAGCTCAGAAATCCCACAGTGAGCAATATTGCATCTACACGATAAAAAATCATGGGGAGACAATACAAAGCAGATTGAGTTTTGTAACAAGAACAGACTGAATAAGGAAACTGAACACCTCCAGCTACTGCAACACATTCCATGAGAATGAGCAGGCCCTTGGGTAGACCCATAAGTACAACACAGTAACAGGAGCATAGAGCAGTGTTAGTTCACATTTTACTACTTGTTAGTTTTGTGAAATAAACAATGTCAGTGCAGCACTCTAAGAAATGTTACATGAGGTCAGGGAAATGTGCAGGTTCTTCTTGCTCCTCATGCAAGTTTGCTCCTCACTTTCTCAAGACAAACTGTATTCTGCTCTCTTAACACCTCTGTTTCCATTGCTTTAATATCCCGCATACAGCCTTGTGTTTTCCCATATCCCCTTCTGTGCTTTTTTTCTCTATCTGTTCTCTCATCTGTTTGCTCCAGTGTGATTTCCTCCAAGGGCCTCAGGGTGGGATATACAGTAGTGAGGGGTGTTGTGGTGTGTGACCTCTGTTTTCTACACAGTTACTTATCTACTCTTATCCCCGCTCTGTGCTGAGTGAGTAATGCAAGTGTTTATGTTGTGTAAGAGTGTTCGTGCATTTGCAGTCATTTCACTGTGTCACCTCCTCCCATCTGTTTGGATGTAGGTGTTTGGGGACATGCCAACCCCAGCGGATGACGTTTGCTTCCTTGACATCCTCACGGACCCCAACCTGGAGAGGCACTACAATGAATTAGAGGTGCGTAATTTTACATTTTTAAACAAAACAAAGATAAACAAAATGAAATAATTATTAAAAAAAATTATAAATAACCACTAAGATTTTGGGCTGCACGGTGGCGCAGTTGGTAGCAGCAAGAAGGTCCTGGGTTCAATTCCCGGCCAGGGGTCTTTCTGCATGGAGTTTGCATGTTCTCCCCGTGCATGCGTGGGTTCTCACCGGGTACTCCGGCTTCCTCCCACAGTCCAAAGACATGCCTGTTAGGTTAATTGGTCTCTCTAAATTGCCCTTAGGTGTATGAATGAGTGTGTGCATGGTTGTTTGTGTGTTGCCCTGCGATGGACTGGCGACCTGTCCAGGGTGTACCCTGCCTTCCGCCCATAGACTGCTGGAGATGGGCACCAGCTTCCCCGCGACCCACTATGGAATAAGCGTTAGAAATGACTGACTGACACTAAGATTTCTAAAAATACTTGCACCTGCATTTGTAATCCTTACTGCCCAAAGTTTGCTGTATTTTCCTTTGTTTTTGCACATACCATACAACTAAATGCAGCAGGTTGTGGTTTTATAAGGTGCTTTAAAGTTATAACTAATACGTTCCTGCAAAACAGTTCAAACTTATTTTATTTTTGGCCATTTGTAATGTTACAGCAACAAATTTCATTGTATGTTTTGGTATGTTATGTGATAGGCCAACACAAGGTAGGGTGGTATTATTGTGAACTAAAAGGAAACAAGTTTTTACATTTTTGTTGAAGTAAAAATCTAAACAATGTGTATTTGTATTTAACCTCCTTTACTCTGACAACCCTAAATAAAATCCAGTGTAACCATCTGCCTTAATTTACACTTCATAATAACCACAAGAGCTGTTCTGGAAACATCAGCTGTTTTTAGAGAATCTTAGTTAAACAGAATTATGAAAACCAAGGAAGAGAGCAGACAGTACAGGGATAAAGTTTAGGAGAAAATCCCACAGAGCACTCTTCAATTCATCATCTGATAATAGAAAGAGCATAGTGTAGCTGTTGATCTCCCATTTAAGGGACATCCGCTTGAAATGACAGGCAGCCAAGAGGCGCGTTGTAACTCTTGAGGAGCTACAGAGATCCACAGTTCACAAGGAAAAAACACATAGTCGTGCCTTTTAGCAAGAGGAAAGCCAGAAGTCCTTTTGCAGTTTGGCAAAACCCATGTAGTGTACACAGCAAACATACAGAAGATGGTGCTCTGGTTAGATGAGATCAAAATTGTACATACATGCACAATACATGTAAAACACTCCTCATAAACACACCATAAAAGCAGTGAAACATGGTGGTGGTGGCAGCATGATTCCTTTCTTTAACAAAGACAAAGAAGCTGATTGGTTTTGATGGGATGATGGATTAAGGTTAATTCAGGGCAACCCTGAAAGAAAACCTTTAAGAGGCTGCAAAAGACTTGAGACTGGAGCAGCGGTACAGTTTCCAGTAGAACCTCGATGCTTAACATTCACCCAGAGCTACAGTTGAATAGTTTAGATCAGAGCATGTTCATGCATTAGAATGGCCTAGTCAAATAAAAACAACCTAAAGCCAATTGAGAATCTATTGCAAGTCTTGAAACATACTGTGAATTTTTTTACAGATGCTCTCCATCTAATCTGAATGTGCTTTTATCTGTACAACATTTTGAAAATTATGTACCATTTTAAAAGTCTGTGGTTATTTGACAAAATACAAAAATGTACATGAGGTTTGAATTCCCCTTGTCCTTTATATTGGCTGCACATGCTACACATTTGTGTGTTTTAAAGGCTCAAAAATCTTTTAGGTGGACACAAATTATAATCCATTAAACCAAAATAAAATTGTAACTGGCTTTAGGTTTTTCCCCTGTAACGTGACTTGGCTTTTCTGCTCTTCCTCATTCCTCCCTTTGTGAGATTTCCCACCTCTTTAGTGCCTGCAACCACTTAGCAACACAAGTGACTTTACAGGTTAGTGTGCAAACAAGCATGCAGAAAAGCTTCTAGCACAAATACATGCAAACACGTACGACCAACAAAACAATGTCTCCAATACACCAGCGGATTAAATTAAACAACACTGTGAGAACATAAAATCCCAACAATCCTCTGGTCGCAGGTGCATAATATCTGGTATCACTTTTTCTTCCTCAGGGCTGTGTTGAGCAACAACCTGCTTACACAGCCACACAACTATCATTCATCCACACATGTGCAGAAGCTTATAAGCACATCCACAGACATTCATAGTTCTCTCTGAGAACACCAAACAATTGCAAGGTTTGTGCAGATTCAGCATAAAACCCCAATATCTTTTGCTCTGTGCAGGATCTAAGTCGCTGGCGGTCAAATAAAACTAACCGAGGACCTCTGGAGAAAGGCTGGAGGGACAACCACAACCCGATTATGTGCTCCTATAAGAGAGTGAAGTGCAGCTTCGAGGTCTACGGCTTCCAGACCAGGACGGAGGACTTCTTACATAACGTGAGACAAGGTTTTATTTTTGCTGATGCAAAGACGCTGGGTTAAGGACAAAATGACAATCCTCATTTGGTGCTGATTGGATTTTATTATCGAAGTTTGCCTTTTGTGGCATGTTGACACAAATAAATCATCGCCACATTAATTTCCAGACATTAGCTTAATTACAGTCACCAAGAGGGCAGGCAGTCTCAAGTGACCTCTGTACTACGTCTCATGTAATTCAGTTGAGCTAACTCTGCTGCTTCAGTTCTCCTCCACAATGAGGCAAAGCACTGAAGTATAAACCTAAGCACCAAGTGTTTGTTTATTGATATTCATGACATTTTCAGGTAATGCTGTTGATGTAAGTTCCAACATAGCCAATTTTGTCAAATTGATTGAACCAAAAGAGGCTGTGACTGTGACAGTAATGTGCCGCACAACAGTATTAATAGTAAAATTTAGCAGGATAGTAGCAGAATTCACAACTGAGTAATTTTCTTTCAGATTCTTTTGTTGACACGATCCTATTTAAATTGTCTTTTCAGATTATTAAGGACATTCTTCTGGTCGGCCACAGGCAGGCTGTCGCATGGGTTGACGAGTGGCACGGTTGGTCAAAAACACACTGTCACTAATAATGCAATAATGCCTTAGTAAGTAAGTAAGTAAAGTTTATTTATAAAGCACCTTTCACAGACACAAAGTCACAAAGCACTGCACAAGAAAATCAAGATCTACATAAAAACACAATAAAATCATGGCATAAAATCCTGGCAGAACAGAACAGACAATTTTAGTACTTTTTACAAAAATCCCTTTAGCCCCTACACAAAGCCATGCAAAAGTATTGGCACACAGGAAACGTTTACACATTTTGCCACCATAAATTTTTATGTATTTTATTGGAAAATGTATTTAATAGGACAACAAAAAGTAGAGTACAGTTGTAATGTGGAAGTAAAAGGATTCATGCTTTTATTTTTTACAAATAAAAAGTGTTGAATTAAACCCTCCTAGTCAAGAACTGACTTTTACACAAGAATATAGGTTTGGACTTTGGCTCAGCCATTCTAACAGATAAGTGTGCCTTGATTAATCTAAATAATTCCATTTAAGTTCTGGCCATATGTTTAGTTTTGTTGTCCTGCTGGAGGGTGAACCTCTGCCTCATAGCAGGTTTTCTTCCAGAATCAGCCCATGTTTAGCACCATGCATCCTACCATGAACTTTGACCAGCTTCTCTGTTCGTATGACTGTTTATTCAGGGTGATGTGCAGCGTTTTCTGCCACCAATAGCTTTATTTGCACGTTAAAGTTCAAGTTCAGTTTTGGTCTTTTGTTTTATTCTAGCATATTCTTTCATTTTCAATGGATCAGAGTCACAGGGGTAACAGGTCGAGGTAATTCCTGACATTTCTCTCTGCGGCACCACTCTCCAATTTATTCTGTGAGATCCCAAAGCATTACCAGGCCAGAAGGAACATATAGTCCCCACCAAGCAAGTTCTAGGACCTGCCTTGAGAATCTCGAGCGGGTCAGATGCCCAAACTACTTCTGAGAGCCAAACTTTATATATTTAGTTGTAAAAATGTTTTAAAATATATCCAATTCCTTCTACACACGTTATGCACCACGTTGTGTCAAATAAAATCCTAATAAATGCATTTAAGCTTATGGTTATGCCATGACAAAACATGTTAAAGTAGAAGGGGTATGAATCCTTTTTCAAGGAACTGTATGTGTTCTGTAAAAATAAATGAATATTTTATACTGTTTTACCACTGTATACATGCCGTCTCCCTGCAGGGCTCAGTTTGGAACAGGTGAGGGAGTATGAGAAGGCAATGCAAGAGAAGACCAACAACAAAGTCAAATCTAACCAGAACAACTCAGGTGAGGTTGCTGCAGCCGACCTGCACTCTGTTGAAATACCTACGAGGATAGAAGGGGAGATTGTCCAGCTGCATGTGAGAGCAGTGCAGGCAGAGACTGGGGGAGGTGAGAAAAAGAGATTGCAATGAGAAGTGGATGAAGAGAACAGTAACTCTGAAACATGCATTTGAGCTCTGTGGCAATTATTGCTGCATTCAGCAGGAGAGGAAGACAGAAATATAAAACATACTGATTCTCATTTAGTTCTCTCCTAGATAGATGCTTTTCTGTCTTTTTTTTATCTGCATGTTTTTTGTTGCAATCAACAAACTCCAAATTGGTATGAATTATTCGCTGTGTAACGCTGACATGCCTGATGAGAGCAGGTTAGTGCCTTCGCTGTGCCCTACAAGTGTCCAGATGGTGTGAGTACATCTGTGGGAGAAAGGCGGAAAGGGAGCGGCAAGAAGGGAGTGTGGGAAGAAGAGAACGACAGACAGATTTAGAGTGTGTGCATGTTTGTCAGTTAGGTTTAGGACGGTTCATGAAGGGATAATGCCACCTCGTCGCTCTTATGAACAGCATAACACAGCCACCTGCTGCACTTCCCTCATCATGATCCCTCTCAACATAAATAACCAGCCGTTGCAGTACTTAGCTGTAAATGTCAGACCCGGTAGGGGGTATATGTACGGGCATATAAGAGAAATCAGTGTGTGTACGTGCATGTGCATATGTGTGTGTGGTCACCCTGCCCCCTGCTGGTTCATCTGGAGAACCTCAGGAGCATGTGTGAAAAATCAAAGGTAGAATACCCAATATGGACCG